TCTACTGTTGCCTTTTCTTTTCACTCACTTGCTAGTCCAGGACTGGTTTTGACTTAGTCTTAGGTGTGCTTGCTTGGTTCCTTTCACCAACTTCTGGAAATAAGGAGAAATGTGTCTTCAGTTGCTCTGCCCTGTGTGCTTATAGAAGCTGTATACTCAATCAGTGCCTAGTATATATATCCCCTGAATAAAAAAAAATAGAATTATCCCATACTTTACAATTCTGAGGGGGAAAAAATGCTGTGGAAGCTAGGGGAGTTGGAGGATTTACAAACTTCCTTATCTAGTAAGAGAGCACCAGAATCCAAGGCTGCGTGCTCTGACTGCTGACCATTGGTCTTTCTGCACCCACCTGATTCTCCATTCCTCCCCATTTTCTGTATGTGGACTTGAACTGTGTTCATTCCACTGGGGGCCTACTGTCTGGTGATAGTCTGGTATTAGCTGCTGCATCTTGAGGAAGGGTGACCTCTTTGTCCTGGCCTGCCCACTGCCATTTGGGGAGCCTGATGGTAGAGAAAGTAGGCCAGGGGAGACAGGAAAGGGAGGTACTGAATGGAAGGAGCATGGCCAAGTGATCAGCTGTTTTCTGAAGTGTGCATAAATGAGTATTTGCAGGAACCTTTTAAGTTCCCCTTCTGCAGGAGGCTCATTTATGAGGCTTTAAAACCCCTCCCTTGCCTCCCTTTCTTGGCAAACCATTGCTCATCATAAGGTCATACCAACTCCCCACCAAGTGAGTGGAAATGGTTGACTCAGTTCTGGTTTGCTTTTGTGTGCTCTGTTTCTGGTAAGCAGGGATTTTCCCCTAGTCTGTCATGTGCCTACTTGTACAGTAGTTGTCTCTTTTGAGGTCCTGGGAAAGGCATAAGCAGAGACTAGCAGCCTGAGAGGAAGGAAATCTCTGAAATGACCCTTGCAGATCAGCTGGGTTTATAGAGATGAGCATAGAGAAGATGCCATAAGATCTTTCTTACACATCTTGGGCACACTGTAACTCAGATACTGCCTTGAGCTGACATATTTGAGGGATGAAATACCCGACAGAGGACACCTTTCAATATCATCATCATCATCATCATCATCATCATCATCATCACTTAGAAAATGGGATAGGGAGGGCTCCCTTCCCTGAACAAGCTTCAGTATCCTTTCTCATCCTCCTTTTGTATAAAGTGGTCTAAAACTACTGGATTCTTTGGGTTCTGTGGCTTGTTGGCTCAAATATGTAACGTCTGTCTTTCTGGATATCTGTTGTTTTCAGATGCATCTGGGGTCCTTCCTCTAAATGTAGGATTCTGTTTTCATTTCCACATTCCTCTTCTGCCCTTAACCTGATTTGAGTTTTCTATCCTGCTCTACCTTGAGCTGGTACATATAAATTAACAGAGAGGCCATGACTCTTCTTAGTTGAAATGCTGTGTGATATGAGAACATGGCCCACGGAATCTACTAAGCAGGCCCCATAGGAGCTGAGGGAGATTGAAGTAACAATCAGAGACCCTGCGTGTGAGCTAGCTTCTCTGCATATAGGTTATAGTTGGTAGCTTAGTGTTCTTGTGAGACTTTTAATAGTGGGGTGTCTTTGACTCTTTCGTCTGTTATTGGAGCCCTTTTCCTCTTAGTGGGTTGCTTCGTCCAACCTTGGCATGAGGGTTTGTACCTAGTCTTACAGTAACTTGTTATGTCATGCTTGTTTCGTTGAAACCCTGAGAGGCCTGATCATCTTTTGGGTGGGGAGAATGGAAGAGGAGTGGATCTGGGAGAGAGGGAGGGTGGGGGTGGAAGGAGTGCAGGAAGCAGAAACTGTGACTGGGATATAATATATGAGAGGAGAATAAAAAAGAAAAAAATACTACATGGTGTTTTTAGGCAGAAATAAAACTGATTCTAAAAATTCATGGATGAAAACAACAAAATGTTTTTTTAATTGATTCTTGTAAATGTGTATAAATTGATTCTGTGCTTGAAAAACTTTCCTATTTATAAATAGATTTCTTGAGCTGGAATTTAAGTTATTGATTTTTGCTTGCTTCCTCATTTCTGGCAGTTATCTGAAAACTATGATCACAGATCACTTTTTTTCATATTTTGAGACAGGGTTTCTCTGTATAGACTTAGCTATTCTGGAACTTGCTCTGTAGACCAGACTGGCCTCAAACTCACAGCAGTTCACCTGCCTTTGTCTCCCAAGTGCTGAGATTACCAGCACCCAGTTATGATCACTTCTTATAGTAATTCTCTATAAATGCAATAGTTAAAATTTTTGTACTGACTCCTTTTAAATCAAAGGCTACTTTGCGAAGGTTTATTTCATAGAAGAACTTGTATTTAAATTTTTATTAATATTTTATGTGAGCTGAAATCTTGGTCTTCAAATTATATTATGCTGTGCTGTCTCACCTATGTGAAGAACACAGAGGGCATCTCTGAATTAGCAAAGGGAAGATGTTAAACAGAAGTCATAATATTTTATACTTCTAGGTCGTGAAATAATGGTAAAACCTTGGTATATATCTGCCACATTTTCTCCATTATTTATCCTTGTCAATATTAAAAAATATGTGGTAGCCAAGAAAATATGCCCAGGAACTTTTATGAATAGGTAAGAATAATCTGGAATGAGTGTATAATTATATAAAACCATACACATACAGAATCTATATCTAAAATAACATAATCTATTTATAGATGATTCAAAATATTCTAATAAAGTATACCCTTGTATGTGTTGCATTCTCTATTCCCTAGTTAGTAGTCATAATTTAACTTTTGACCCTGTCATTGCAAATGACAAAATCATTAGATTTTTACTCAGAACAACTTTGGGCTCCCTTTGTACTCTTCATGTCCCATTTATATTCCCTATTAACCCAGTTCATGTGATTCAGATGTATCAAGTTGGTTGGGGGTAGGGGTTATGTCCTTAGGTTGTTCCAGCGTTCCCAAATAGTCCCAGCATGACCGTCTACTCATTTCTTTGCTCCTTTAGCCCTAGACTGAAGGAAGATAGCAGAAGTCCCAGCAGGAAAGCCCAGAGGACCTTCTAGCTTGTTGTGCCTTTTGTCTCAAACAAAGAAAACAAGAGAGAGGTCTTAATTATTTTGTTTCCCAAACAAAGTTGAAATGTTGGTGTGATTACATGATAATGATGTAGGTCACATCTTGCTATTCAAATTCCTCTCCTCTCCCACCCCAAGGGCTATAAGAACTGGGGCTTCCAGGATTGGGTGCCAGTGTGGACTCCATAATTTCTCATGCCTCCTCTAGGAGCTCAGAGTGACTTTAGAGATACAATAAGGACATGTTCCCCAGAAAATAGCCTCCATATGGGGAATCCTGGCTTATGCGTTTTACTAGATGTTCTCAGGCCAGTGCCAGGATTTGTTTGCTGTGTTTTCTCTCAGGGCCAGTCAGCATAGATTTTTTTCCCAGATAATCCCAATTAAGAGGGTGTGCTTAGAAAAGTGCACATTTACCAGCACAGGACACACAGCTACCCTTCTCTTCCCTTAGCGTAAAAACTTCAGTGACCAGTTCCTAGGCATCCTGTCACATCTGGTCTGCTTAGATGCTCTGACCTCTTTGCTTTGAGTCCCTGTCTTTCTCTTGGCTCCCATGCAATCTTCTTAGGTAGATAGTCTCATTACCCTTCCCAAGTGAAACGCAAAATGAACATGGCATTTATCCTATACTCTCTTACTCCTTCAACATAAGTGTTGAAGCTCTGCCTTATGATTCAGAACCTTTGCAATTACGTTGTAAACTTGTCTAATGCACCTTCCCTTTTTCTCAGGGTGCTCAGGCTGGTGGAGTCATTTGTTCCTATAAAACAACTAGTGTCACAGATGATGGCCTGCATTTTCCAGTGCAGAATAAAGTTGCTCTTCCTTCACAGTATCAACAGGCACCATTTAAATGTCTTCATGTTGGTGAACTTTGGAGAGAAGACGTTAAATACCTCATTGCTAGCATATTTTTTACCAAAGATCATTTTACTGCTTATTCTCATGGCATTGAAAGACCCTCAGCTTCTTTCTCTGCTATGAGTATCACAGTGCCCTGCTGAACCAACAAGTAACACTGTTGATTTCTCCGTGGACATTCCCAACTGCAAGGCTGTTCTCAGAAGACTACCTTCCTCCTCTGTTAGACAGTAAAGGTCATTCTAAATCTTGTAACTCAGAACCTCACAACGAGAAGATAAACATGCAGTTGGCCAAGGTTACTTGGTGATTCCTCCTGGTTTAAGTATCAGTATGTCTTCTTTCAGAAACCAGTACTCTTGGACTTGCGGCTGAGGGTACAGCCCAATGGTAGAGTGCTTGTCTAGCATGTATAAGGCATTGGGTTCAACAAAACCAAAAAACCCAACAATCTTGTGATTGTTACACATTATGACAAAGAATGCTGTACATTGCATTCCCTCTACACCATCAGGAATGTTCTTTACCCAGCACAGAACCCAAACCAACCTCTCAGGTTCTGGGTTTCAAGGCACATTTGACCTTTGAGGTTTAAGTTAATTTACTCCTGGCAAGAGAGAATGTATAGTTTAAGGAGACTCCAGTTAGAGGGGATCATAATAAGGACCCATAACACTTCTTGGACCTCAGATATGCCTTACAAAACAAAATGTTTATGAGCTAAGTGTAAATGACTCAGAAACATACGAATTGAATTTCCCTTAAAATGTGAACGGATTTTAAAATTAGCAGGAAAAGGGCCTGGCAATGAATGTGCTTTGAATTTCATAAAACCCAGAGGATTTGAAATGCAGTTTAAGAAGCCTGACAAGCCCAAACTGTGACTAAGGTTTTCTTTGTTGGTGACTTTTCTTCCCTCTGTGTCTCACAGAAGAACTCGGTGGTTGGAAGGGAAAGAGAATGGTTATGAAGGATTTTTGAAAGAACGTATTGTCACACTTGTGTAGGGCCAGAATGGGGACTTAGGGGGCTTTGGAGAGTTGGTCATACTGCCTTTTTGAATTGTTTTCCCAGGTTTGCACCTCCGACTCCATCTCCTCAGCACATGAGCCCTGGAAGAATTCCAGCTCCTCCGTCATTGCTGCAGAGAGCACACCCTCCCCACACCCAACAGCCACCAGGCTCACTCCTGAAGTCCTACCATCCAGAAACAAACCCTGCTTTTCAGTCAAATGGTATCCACGTCCATGGTAAGCTGGGGCTGGCAGCCCTTTGAGTTTTGAAAGACAGTGTTTTGCTGTTGCCTTTAATCAAGTGTCCTAGAGACCTATTGTGGGTATCAGATGTTCTGTTTTACATCAGACTTGGGCTTTTAGATTACCCCTACACACACATGCACATACACACTTATTAACACACTTATTAGGTGTGAAATCCTATAGTGTTTTCCTCAGATAAACTGACTTATGACACCCATAGTTGTCAGCCCATGGCAATCATTTGTGTTCCCAGTGTTGTGATACCTCAAGAGCTGACTCTAACAATAGCATCCTGCTCCTGAATGACCAGGAGACTGTATGAAAGGAGCCCTGCTATCCTTGTCTGTCATCTCCTTCCCATAAGCCAGGTCAACACCTGGTCCCTGGCTGTGTCATCTCCCCTGGCTCTGAACTGTGTCTCACCTATATTTCTTGGGTAGAACTTCCATTCTCTCCATCTTTTAGCCTATCTGACAAAATATATATTCTTCATTAATATATAAACTTGCTTCTGAGGCCAGAATTATCTGACCCATCATCATATCTCTTAGGGATCTCAACACATTTTTTCATGTATAGTAATGACTATACATATTCATGTAGAAAGAAAAGAACGTAGGAAATGAGAAATTATAGTGGTTTTCGATCTGTGCCGGTATTGTGTTCAACAAGGACCACATGTGGAGGAATAAATCTTCTTCAGATTCTTTTCTTTATATAAACTCATCTTGTCATCTTGTCAGTTCAAGCATGTACAGTAGTAGACTTTCACAGAAAACTGAAATGCCAAACCATACAGACTACAGCTGCCAAATCCATTTACTTCCTGTCATCAGAATTCTATATGAGCAGAAATGATACTGTCCATTGAGACACCTGATTCATTCTAAAAGTGAATCTTTCATTTTTGTCCTCTCACCAATAACGTTTATTTATATGGTTATCACTTGGGATGGATGGATGTTATCCCAAGCCAGTATTTACTCTGAGTGCAAATAAGGACCTTCGATAGTAGACTCCAGCAGTACTGTGGTGCTAAGCCTGAACAAGAACCTCAAAGTGGAACCCTGAGCAGCAAGGAGGAGACAAGAAAGTGACAGTGGCCATCTGTAACAAGGGTGGACATTGGAAAGCCAGTGTCACTGCTCTGAGTAAAGATCCACCTATCTCCCTGACTCGTACTTGTCCACTGTTTGCCCACAAAACTTAGAGTTCTCAGCTCAGTAGTTGTTTTTGCTTTTTCCTACTTAAGAGCATCTTCTCATACTTCTGTTACAGCAGGACATGGTTTTGTAAGTGCCTGCTGCAGGTACTCAAGGTAAGTTGTATAAAAAAAAAAGACTACCTTCCTGGCCAGCAGCTTGTCTGATGAAGGGAGACCCAAGGGCACGGTCTGGAAAGCTACCAGCACCCATCTGGGAGTGAAGTGGGCAGCTTGGGTGTGGACTCTGTGGAAGTCAGAGTTGGTCACCTCTGTGAAACACTGTTTGAGTGTCCATACATGAATGCTGCTGAAATTGGGCATGTCTCTCAGTCAGTGGCATCCTATAGCTGGTAGTGAGTGATCTCTATTTCTGGTGGTATACAGACTAATAGAGCAATTCACAGTAGGCATTGTCCTAGGTCCAGTGAAATGCAGTATATCCTGCTTTGATTTATAGTTGTGAAACCCACTTGTAAAAACTTTAAAAATTAACCTATGTGTCAAAAAACTATCAATAGTTTTTTTTTAAATCAAGCCAAAACTTAATGTCACCTCCCTCTTCTTTTCTTTCTCCCAACAAAACTTTATGAGTGGGTTCTGAAGGAGTCCAGTTAACTCTTGTCAACTCTAAACTCTGTGCATGTTCAGGCTTTTGGGCCTGGGTTCTCAGTCCCTAATGGGGACAGTGTCATCTCCTTTCATCACTTGTTCCAGGAAGTTGGTCTGAAGAGCACCCAGCACAGACATGGGACTGACTTCATTTCAATCTCTTCCTTCTCCTTCTCTTTTATTTAGTAGTCTCTGGGAACAAGGGTCATGTGTGTAGCCCCAGGGCAAACATAATACTTGGTGCAAAGTAGGCATTTAATAAGTATTTACTGAATAAGTAATTGTTACTTTCTCATTCAACAAATGGATAAAAAATCAGGAGGACCCAGAGAGCATCCTTCTTGTCACATTGGAAAAATACTTTTCCTCTACATCTCTCCTTTGAAAGATAAACAAGAATATATTTCCAACTTGAAAGTGTTGTGCTTTTTTTTAAACTTCTACTTTCTTAATTTTTAAAACCTTCTGCAGCCAATGTAAACCAGCTAACAGCAGCCATAAATTAGTTTCAGAATAGAGCTAGGGAAAATGAGAATTCATGACAGACTCCAGAGTGATGACCAAGTGGCTGTGGTGATGAGATTGCAAAGAAACTGCCCAGGCTTTAGCCAGCTGGTGAAGGGGTCAGGACCCGGTGCAGTCTTACTGGTCCTCTCTGCAGGGTCCTGAAACTCTCTAGGTGCAAGCATTTCTCACCAACCAGTCCTTCCATGAGGACTAAATGTATATGCTGTTTTTCAAGGAGTGAGTGAACCTTCTTAGCTGGGTGTGCTTGTTAGCTGCAGCTGTCCCCTTAAGTTACACAATAGCCTAGTGACAGGGAACTTCATCCTCTACGAAAACACCATTTTTTAAGCCACAGAGTGTCAGAATTTTGAACTCAGTGGTCACAGTGAGTCTTTGTACCTTCTTTGAAGATGTTCATGGTTTTAAAGAGCATCACAACTCATCTCGTCTGTCTAACCTGCAGCAGAGGTCAGGGGTCAGAGGTCAGGGAGAAATGCCATCACTCCATCTGCAGAGATAGGAGCTGAGACATGGAACAATATAAATATCTGGAAATCGCTGCCCTGGCACACTGTGTGGGCTTTGAAAGAGGTTTGCATTTCTAAACTGAATCCATAATCAAGGTGATTGCAAGTCAAAAGAAATAGGAGTTTACAACTCTCCTTAGGGAAACGGGGTGCCTCTTCTTACACACTTGTTTTATGTGGAACTTAGAAGGTCAGAGTTCAAAGGGGCTCTTGTCTTAGTGATGAGGAATAAAAAGAAGATCCTCCAACCTTTGGTAATCATCTGCTAATTGGTACTGAACGCGGACATTGTGTGCTGGACTTGTATTTTCATTAAGTAAAGGATACACTTTGTCAGTATTAACACCAGCTCTCTTTCACATGTCCTCCCCTTGGCTTTACTGACACCCACACCACCCGTTCAGACTGCCTTTATTAGTAAAGAGAATGAGATGTCCTTCCTACTTAATGTTGATAGAATTTTCAGCCTCTGTTTGGGCGATATCTCTAAGGCAACCTCTTAATACACTTGATCTTTTCTCTTAGATGTCAACATAAGGACACTCTTTCCAACCATGTAAGCTTGTTCTTTGGTCTTTTCTTTCTTGACAGGGTAATTCTCTTGCCCAGGCAAGCTTCAGAATTTTGCCTGGATTAGTTGCCAGAGAGCTGATATTTGTACATTTTGTTATGGTACTTACTAATGGATAATTTCTTTTTAAACGCCCTATTCACTGCTGGTTGTTCAAATGCCATGGGAATTCCTAGAAGAGCATTTTCACAGTCTTCCTGCTTCTGGACACATCAAAGAGAGGCCAAGTTCAGTTCAACGGGTGTTTGTTGGTCACCCTCTAAGTACCAGGCAACGAGAATGCCACTTAACGACTGCCATGCTGCAGTAATTAAAAGGGGAAAAAGGAACCTGATGTGTTGCAAGGAAGATGCAGTCAAGGGTTTGCAGAGGTGGAGTATGCAAACAAGAGACACACTGGAGATGGTGTCCTGCTTGGTACCTGGGTTAGGCCCAAAGTGGAGGAGAGGATGCAGGAGAACAAGGTGGACTCAGAAAAAAACAATGCATCACACTCAGTGCAGTCACTCTGATGATTTTCAAACATCATACAGAGATCTGTGAGAGGGGGGCCCAGGATAGGCAGAAAACCCAAGCCCTCACTATCAGGGTTAGATTGTGCTGTTTGGAAAACTCGGTGACTGGAAGGGAGTTTGCTTCTCTCAGATGCAACTGGAAAACTGGAGGAATGGTAGGAGAATTACTGTGGTATTGTGTGTGTTCAGACTCTTTCTGAAGAAAGGAAGGATAGAATAGCCAAGAAGTAGAAACACTTGGTTTAGATACTACACTAGACAAAAGCCCTTTCAGCATTGTCTTAATAAAATTAGAAATGAACACAACCCTAGGGGCTGCTCAAGAGAAGTACACACCTAACCTTGCATGGGGCTTAATTTCTGGAGAACCTACAGGCCACATGCCCGACTCCTTTGTGTCCCCCCCACCCATGATATGTCTGTGTGTTTGTGTGTGTCTGTGTTTATGTGCTATCTGTATATGTTGATGTTCCCTTGGGTGAGTGCACACCTGCCTGTGTTTATGTGCTGTATGTATATTTGAATCTTCCTATGGGAGTGTGCACATAGAATCAGAGAACAATGCCAGATTTTTTTCTTTGATCATGCTCCACATTACATTTGAGACAGGGAGTCTCATGGAACCCAGAGCTCACCAGTTGGCTAGACTAGCCAGCTAATAGTGTCCATGAATCTGATTGCTGCCGTACCCTGCAGTAGTGAGGTTGCAGATGTGCACATCAAAACCTGCAGTTTTTTTATGTGGATATCAGGGATCCAAATTTGGGTATTCATGTTTGTGTGACAAATATTTTAGTAATTGAACTGTCTACTCTGCCCCCATTTTGTGGATTTTTGATAGCTACTCAGAAGCCTATAGACACACTGAACTGGGTATGTTACCCCTGTTTCCTGTATTTGAATGTTCTGGTCCAGTACTGGCTTCTGAAGACCCAGCTATTTCACATAAGCATTTGTGTGTGCAGAGTGTGAGCTTCCAGGATATTTTTTCATCGTGGTGTAGTAGCAACAGCTGGGTTCAAGTTTATTGTTTTTCCATGTTAAGATGGCCACTATAA